TTCCCTGTGTCCTGTCCCTCCAGGCCTTGTCCCCAGTCCCTCTCCAGCTCTCCTGGAGCCCCTTTAGGCCCTGGAAGGAGCTCCAAGGAGTCTTCTCCAGGGGAACATTCCCAGCTCTCCCAGCCTGGATTTCAAACCCCCAGGGAGCAGCCCCAGCCCCTCTCCTGGCTCCTGATCCCACCTCACTCCCGGCTTTTCCCAAGGCCTTTGGGAGGCTGCCGAGCAGGGTCCGGGGGGATGCTCCAGGTGGTGTTCCCAGGCTGGGAATGTTTCCCTCCGGGAGCGGGAAGTGGTGGGATGAGGGGACGGGACAAAGCCGGGCCTTGGGCTGGTTCATTACCAGAGCTTTAAACCCGATCCCAAGCCCTGGCAGATCCCAGGACACAGGTAAGGAGGCTCCTGTGCCCCTCCCTCTCCAGCTCCATGGGGATCCAAACCGGGAATGACAGCGCTGCTCATGGGAATGTTGGGCTCTGGAATGTCCTGGGATCCCCCCGGGATTCCCGGGAGCAGCAGCTCCTTAGGGATTAATGAAACTGCTTTGTTTTCCCAGCTTGGACAATCCTGGCACCGGCATGGATGGTCTGGGAGGATTCCTGGGGAGGGATGGGAAAGGGTGGGATGTGGGAGAACCTGCTCAGTGCCGTGGGATTGAGGGAAACAGGGAATTCCTGGGCTTTCCCTGTGTCCTGTCCCCATCCCAGGCCCCGCAGTGGCTGCTCCCATCTCCTCTCCATTGCTGCTGGATCCTTTCCCTTAGGGAATTGTAATCCAAGCTTTTCTCCTTCCCCAAGGCCCCCCTGCAGAATCCCAGCAGGAATCCCAGCAAACCCTCCACTGGGAGCTTAAAACAAGTCCCCTTTTTCAGGAAGAGCAGCCTCTGAGATCCCCTCGTGCTCCAGCCACCCCTGGGTGCTGGAATGGGAGAAATCCCTGGAAATCCAGCAGTGGGTGAGGCCTTTACCCAATTTATCGGATCCCTGGGTGTTTATTCCGTGGTTTTCCCGGTGGGAGCAGCTCCAGGCTGTGGGTGGAGGGTCCCCCAAGGATGCTGGACACCCCGGTGAGTCTCCCCTTCTCCAGGCTGGACAATCCCAGTGCCCTCAGACATTCCTTGGATGGCCCTTCCAGACCCTTCCCTGCCCTCAGGGAGCCGACAGCTCCTTCCCAAGTTGGAAAACTTGGCATTCCTTGGAGCCCCGTGTCCCAGGAAGATGCTGGAGAGCCCTGGGATGACGATGGAGCCCCGTGGAACCCCCTCAGTGCCCGGTGCCAACCTGGTGTCCCCCCATTCCCGGGAATTCTCTGTTCCCAGCCCCTGAGCCTGTTGCTCCCACCCCCCAGGGTGTGTTTATCCAGCTGTATCCTGGACAGCTTTTCCAGGAGAATCCTGGGAGAGGCAGTACCACAGACTGCACCTGCTGGCTTTCCTGGACCAGCCAGGGGGGTTTCCCTGTCCCAGAAGGAAATCAGTGGGATAAGCAGGAATTTCCCCTCCCCACCCTGTGCTGGCTGTTGTCCCTCCAGGGGCTTTCCAATACTTCCTGGAATAATCTTTTCCATGATTTTACCAGGCCTGGATTTTCCAGGCTCCTCCTCCTTGCCCTTCCTGAAATTCCCCACCTTCCAGCCAGCTGGGACCTCTCCAGATTCCCAAAAATCACGGAGAGAGGGGCTTTGCTTTCCTCCCTCAGAGGAAAAGCTCCGGAGTTTTCCGGAGCAAGGAAGGAGCCTCAGGAAGCTGCTGGCTCACAGATATCCAGGCTTGGATGGTCCTGGGAACGGTGGGAGATGCTCCTGGAAGGGGAGAACCAGCACAGGGATGAGTGGGATGCTCCAGGAAAAAGGTCCTGGCAGGACCGGGAAGGCAAAGGTGGATGTTCAGGATGGAAGGATCCCAAAGCAGGAACCCTTCCCAGAGCTGCCAGGAGGGGCTGGATCCAGCTCCAGAGCCAGGAGCAGCGGGATCTGCAGCCAGGGAGGCTGGGAAAGGGGTTGGAACAACACCATGAAGGTTGGGAAAGACCTCCAAGGTCCAAAATCTCCCAATTCCAAGGGACAGAGCCAAGGACTCTGTTGCTCCAAAGCACCCCGGGAAGCCTCAGCTTCGATTTCCCTGAGCCTTGGAGGGGAAAAAAAAACAGGAAGTGAAGGTGGAGAAGGAGGAAAACCCTCGCCCAGGCCCAGGGGAAGGTGAGTTTTTTGGGATGGTGAGTTTTGTGGGATGGTGAGTTTTTCGGGATGGCAGCGACGGCAGCAGGCAGGGCCTCGGGATCGACGCCGCGGAGACGCCGCTCCGGTTTATTGGGATGGGAATGCAGCCTCTGGAAAGGGAACTAAAAGCCCAGTTTGGAGCTGGAAGCCCGGCCCTGGGTGAGCGGGAAAAGCTGATGTTTAAAAGAAAAGGCACTTAAAAAAATGGGCTGAGACGGAAAAGGAAGGATTCAGCAGGAATTCCAGTGGCCGCTGGAAGGGCTCCGGAGCCGAACTGAAGGGACAGAGCACGGAGCCCCTCCTTCCCTGCTCCCTTGGATCCCTCTCCCTGCCCTTTTCCCCCGGCATTTCCTGGGCCTTTCCACGCTTAAAACTGGTTTTAAAGGGAGCAGGGACGGCGGTGACAGGAGGAAAAGGGCCGGGAATGATGTGTGGGAAGAAGGGAAAGCGGAAAAGTCGGGAGAGGCCGAGAGCCGGGGGGGGGGTTGGAGCCCGAAATCCACGGGGTGAGTTTTCCTGGGGCTCATTCCATGAGCAGGAAAGGTTAAAACAGCCTCAGGCAAAGCTTCTCCCTCCCCCCTCCCTGTTCAGCTGCCCTGGAGCGGCAGCTTTTCCCTCTGGTTTTCCAAGGAAACCTCTCAAGGAGGGGCAGGGGGGTTGTTTCCAAGCGCTGCTCTGGGGAAAGCTGCGGGAATACGGCCCGGGAAAGACGTGCAAAAAGCAGGAGGGACTGTTGGGAATTGTTGGGATGGGAGAGGGGGAGCTCAGGAGGGACTGTTGGGATGGGGGAGGGGGAGCTCAGTTGGGAAGGAGGGATGAGTTATCCCGGGAAAAGAGCAGCTGGGGGTGGTTGTGCGGCGACTGTTCCTCGTCAGTCAGTGCGGGCGGACATTCCTTAATTAGCTCCCTAATTAATCCCAGCAGCGGGATGGTTGGATGAGTCCCAGGGAAGGTTTTGGGATCTGGGAGCTCCATAAATAAAAAGGGGATTTCTGTTTGTCTCTCTGTCTGTTTGTTTTCCCAACGGCTCCGAAGGTCCCGGAAGGCGGCGCCGGATCTGCGGGATGAGGCTCCGGGCGGGCGCTCCCGGCGTTCCCACCGATCCAGGGTGTCCATAAATAAGGCTGGGAAGGGGGTTCTGCGGCACAGGGAATCTCGCGGGGGGGGGTGAGGGAGGAGCAGATCCCTCATTTTAGCCGCTCCACCAGTCCCTGGGTGAGTCCGAGGTGCAGGAGCTGAGGCCGGGACAGGGTGGCCAAGTGGGGGAAATATTCCAGGAGCTTTTCCCAGCACAGTTCCAGCAGGCTGGGAACCACCAGCCACAGCTTGAAGAGGGAGCCAGTCCGTTTGTTCTCGTGGATGTTCACCACCCCTCCGTGCACGTACATGCAGCCGGCCTGCGGGAACACGGACACGGAATTACGGCCCGGGAAAAACGGGAGCGCTCCCACCCCAACATTCCAGCTGAGGGGTGGGACAAAGGGTCGAGAAACCACAGCCAGGAAAAGCAGGAGCTGGCCGTGGAGTTGCTCTGGATTTTGGGTGAGTTCCACTCCAAAAATTCCATTAAAATGGAATGGGACAAGGTGTTAATAAATTAGGATAGAGCCCGGATGGGAAGAGAAGGAATTACACAGGGATAGCACAGCCAGGAAAACCAGGAGCTGCTCTGGAGTGTGGGGGAGTTCCACCCCAAAAATTCCATCAAAATGAAGTGGGACAGAGTGTTACCGAATTACTCAAAAACCTGGATGGGAAAAGAGGGAATTACACAGGGATAACACAGCCAGGAAAACCAGGATTTGCTCTGGATTCCGGGGGAGTTCCACCCCAAAAATTCCATTAAAATGGAATGGGACAAAGGGTTAATAAATTACTGTAGAGGTTGGATGGGAAAAGAGGGAATTACACATGGATAGCACAGCCAGGAAAAGCAGGATCTGGCTGTGGAGTTGCTCTGGATTTTGGGTGATTTCCACCCCAAAAAATCCATTTTGGAATTTTGGGATTTAGGGACAAAGTGTTATTAAATTACTGTGGAGTCTAAATGGGAAGAGAGGGAATTACAGAGGGATA